TCTAAAGTGAATGATAGCTGTCTTGAGATTTTCCAGACGGAGATTTAGTTAGTGTTCTGGATGGTTGATTTTCCCTTTTCCTTTTCTGGAATAAATTTATCATGGAAATATCTGGCTTGTGTTTGGTAGAGATTATTCAGTGCTGAAGAACTTGCATTGTACAATGGAACTGATGACACGCTGCCCATTCTTTTGGGAATTCTTGGGTATTTCTCTCACTATCTCTTATTTTATGCAACGGATTGTTTATTTGTGTTGTCGGTGCTGAAAAAAGGATATTGATTAATATTCACTGCATTCCTTTGTATCCAGATCTGTGTTTGATGTGACAAAAGGAAAATCCCATTATGGTTTGGGAGGGGGTTACAATCATTTTGCTGGAAGGTTAGCTAATCTTGTTTCATGAAGATAACTGTTTCTTATATTTAATTTTTTATTGACTCAAATTAAATAGATTGTACAAATAGAACTGATAGAGCAAGAAGTCAGAAACTGAATTTAAAAGCTTATATAAATTGATAGCAAATTAGCCTATAAATAGGCATTACAATTAATAAACAACTAACTCATAATTCATATAAAATAGGAAGCAATAATCCTACTAATATAAACTGAAATACTAAAACTTAGGAATCATCAAAACATTAACCATATAATTTGTAAAAAATAAAATATTTTTAGTAAATAACTAAGTTACTGTTAATACTCTCTCTTAAACTGATATATGCAGAAATTAGTTTAAGCTTAACTTCTAACAACTCTAGCTAAGCTAAGTTAGGTCTTGAGCACTTCCATTGAGGAGCATACACCAAGCATTCTTCGAAATAACAAACACAGCGTGCTTGAGTGGTTTTCTCATAATATCTGCCACCTGATCTTGATTTCTACAAAACTTCAAATCAATTGTGCCATTGTTGCATAGATCACGAAGAAAATTGAATCTAACATCAATGTGCTTGCTTCTTCCATGTAAAGTAAGACTTTTGGAAAGTTTGATTGTTGAAACATTGTCACAAAAGATTGTTGTTGAACCTTGCTGTTGGATATGGAGTGTTTCAAGCAATTTTCTCAACCAGATAGCTTGAAATGAACATGTTGCTGCTGCAATGAACTCAGCTTCTGTACTAGACAAAATAACGATATGTTGTTTCTTCGATATCCATGATACAGCCCCAGAACCCATCAGAAAAACAAATCCAAATGTACTTTTCCTATCATTCAAGTCACCTGCAAAATCACTATTAGAGAATTCAATTAATTTTTCTGTGGTTTTAGCTGCATAAAAAATACCAAAATCAACCGTGCCTTTTAAGTAACAAAAAATTCTTTTTACAACGCAGAGATGATTCTCAGTGGGATTCTCCATGTATCGACTAATTAAACTGGCACCATACATGATGTCAGGTCTGGTTGAAGTTAGATACATCAAACTTCCTACCATTTGCTTGTACAAGGTGACATTTATCTTCTTTCCTTCTTCATCTTTCATCAACTTTAAGCCAAATTCAGTTGGAGTACATACTGAATTACAATCCTTCATTTTGAACCTGCTCAAAATCTTAAGAATATTTTTCTTTTGTGAAACAAAAATGCAAACTGGTGACTGCATAACTTATATACCGGGAAAATAATGCATCAGCCCCAAATCACTCATCAAATTCAGTCATCATATTTTTTTTAAATGCATCAATCATGACTTTATCATTCCCAGTATATATTAAATTATCAACATACAAACATACAATAAGCATTGAACCATTACCACGAAGCTTTTAAAAAGAGTATGTTCATGAGGACATTTCAGAAAATCTTCTTTAGCAAAATAGGCATCTATACGACTATACCAAGCTCTTGGAGCTTGCTTTAATCCATACAAATTTTTTTTTAATTTATATACCTTTTATTCACTATCTTTCGTCACATATCCAAGGGGCTGATTAACATATACCTCTTCTTGTAGCTTACCATGCAAGAAAGCTGATTTCACATTTAATTGATAAATAACCATGAATTTTGTGCAGCCATGGACAACACCAATCGAATTGTATCCAACCTTGCAAATGGAGCAAACACCTCCTTATAGTCAACTCCAAATTCTTGTTTCTATCCCTTCACAACAAGTTGTGCCTTGTACTTGTCTATGCTGCCATCTTTGTTTAGCTTTGTTTTGTAAATCCATTTAACTCCAATGGATTTTTGCCCCGTCGGAAGCTCTACCAATTCCCATGTATTATTCTTTTCTATTGATCTCATCTCCTCATCCATGGAATTTCTCCATTTTAAATCTTTGATAGTTTCTTAAAATGTAAGGGGATCACAATATGCAAATAATGCAAAATGGGTGAGAAGATCTTCAGATTGATTAATTCCAGTTACCTCATCATTTGACATCCATGTTGGCCTTCTTCGAACACGATGAGAACGCGAATCAACTACTATTTCATTTTGCTCATCCATAGCTGGTTCATTCTGGGCATTTTCAGAGGCAACTTCTGCTATAACATGCTGTTGCTGGGGCTGATTTGCTTCTACATCATTTTCTCCATCAAAACTTGTTGGGATTTGTTCTCCAGAAGCAATTTTGTCCCATGATCAGAACTGGTTCTCATTAAAAACAACGTCTCGACTGATGAGAATTTTCTTAGTGCTAGGATTATAAAGCTTATATGCTTTTGATTGATCACTATTACCAAGAAAATTGCATTTCTCTCCCTTATCGTCTAGTTTCTTTCTTTTTTGATCTGGAACATGGGCATATGCAACACGCCCAAAAATTCTGAAGTGATCTACAGCAAGCCGTTGTCCATTCCATGCTTCCTTTGGAGTCATGTTTTGAACTGTGAATGTTGAACTTCTCTTCAAGATGTGAATACTCCACTTGACTGCTTCAGACTAAAAACTTTTTGGAACTCCAAAGCGTCAATAGACTTCGCACCGTATTTATGGTTGTGCGAATTTTCTTCTCGCAAACTCTATTTTGTTGGGGTGAATAGGCTGCTGTAAGTTGTCTCATTGTTCCATAAAGCTCACAAAAATTTGCAAATTCATGTGAGTTATATTCTCCCCCACAATCTGAAGGAGGGACTTTTATAGGGCTGCCAATCTCTTTCTCAACTAGTGCTTTAAAGATTTTAAAAACTTCAAAAGCTGAAAATTTTTCCTGTAAAAAATATACTCAGGTTTTTCGAGTATAATCATCAATGAATGCTATAAAATAACGTTTACCACCATTAGATGTTGGATTGAGGGGTTCTTGCTCTCCATGACTTCTCTTGTGGAAATGGATTACGGTGTTGTTTGTTAACAACACATTCTTCTCAAACTTGAGAAGGAATGATAAGTGGAGGAAGACCCGTCACCATATTTTTTACTGAAGAGTTTTTAATCCACCAAAATTCAAATGGCCATATCGAAAATGTCAAAGCCATGAAGAGTTCTTCACTTCGGCCATCAAACAAGATTGGGTAGCTTGTTTTTTAAGCGAAAACAGCCTGTTTGCACTCATTTGAATAATTGCAATTGCTCTCTTTGTAGGATCATAGATTTTACAAGCTCCCTTTTGAATGGTTATAACATAGCCTTTTTCTTGCAATTGACCAGCACTTAGCAAATTACTTTTCAAGTTAGGAACATAATATACATTAGAAATAGTTTCCACAAAACCATTCTTGATTTTAATGTTAATATCACATTTTTCCATTATATTTATGTTAGAACAGTCATCAAAACTCACAGTTGAGTGAAAACTTTCATCTAAATGAGAGAGAAGAGATTTACTACCACACATGTGATTATTTTAGCCCGTATCCACATACCAAACTTTAGGTGTAGGTTCCTCATAAGTTTGAACAGTCATCAAAAAAGTTTCAGGTTCATGATTCTCTGGGAAGTTTGATATCTCCCCCTTCTCTTCGTCATTAGACAGCTTGGTACGACGTTCGGAATGATAATGACCGAACTTATGACATTTGTAGCACTCAATTTTGGATTTGTCATAATGTTGAACCCCTCATCTTCCTTTGTGTTGAGGTTGATAATCGTTATAGGCTTTAAAATTCGTGCTGCCATTTCTGTTGCCTCGTTCTCCCCTTCGTCTTCCTCTTCCTTTGCCTCTTCCTCTAGAATTTGAGGAATGATAAAAAATAGAAGCCTTCAAAGCTTGCTCCTCTGTAGTTGAATTGTGATTCATTTTTTGTTCATGCTCCAGCAAGGAGCTCTGTAATTCATCAAGAGAGAGTGCATCTATATCTTTAGATTCTTTAATCGAGCAAACAACGTAATCGAACTTTGTTGTCAAAGAACGCAAGACATTCTCTACAATGGTGACATCTTCCATTTTCTCACCATAAAATCGCATTTTATTGCTTATCTCCATGGTTCTTGTAAAATAACTAGTAATAGACTCTCCATCATTCATTTGTAAAGTCTCAAAATTCCGTCTCAAAGTTTGAAACTGTGCACACTCGACTCTTGCTGAACCTTGATATTTTTTTTTTATTTAATTTCAAATTTGCTTGGGGGTATCTTTGCATAAGATGGTCTCCAATATCGAACGATCAAATAGCTTGGAATAAGTAATTCTTTGCTTTGAGATCCTTCAATTTCAATCCCTCAATTTCTGCTATCTGCATATTAGATACAGCTGTTCCAATTGTTGGTTTTGGAACTCATTCCGAAACAATTGACTAGTACTCTTTAGATCTGAGGAAATTTTTCATCAGCATGCTCTAATGATCATAGTGACCATCAAAGCGAGGAATTGCAGGTTGTACAAAATTGTCAGATACCATTAACTATAATAATTTCAGTAAAATAAAGCTACTGCTTTTCTTGTACAAACCAGAAACTTGTGGCTCTGATATCACTATTGAATCAAATTAAATAGATTGCAGAAATAGGACTAATAGAGCAAGAAGACAGAAACTGAACTAAAAAATATATAAATTGATAGCAAATTAGCCCATAAATAGACATTACAATCAGTAAACAACTAACTCATAATTTCTACAAAATAGGAAGTAATAATCCCACTAACATAAACTGAAATACTAAAACTTAGGAACCATCAAAGTATTAACCATAAAATCTGTAAAAAATAAAATATTTTCAATAAATAACTAAGTTACTGTTGGCATTTTTCTTACTCAGCTTGTTGCTTTATAGGATCTATATTCTGCAAGTTACATTGCACTATGACTTTGTTCTGTGTTTTACTTCATTTAGCTTCCCCCACCACCCCAACCTCGCATATCCATTCCCCATCAGCCCTCTGCCATCTTGCTATGTATCATATGGTGCCTTCTGATTTTTCCTTGTCTTATTGGATGGTTGTTTCTGAAAATTGCTCTTTTGTAAAATGTATTTCTTTCTATCTTTAGATTAGAATGCTTAAGTTGATATGCAATAATCGAGTCCTCATTAGGCTTGTCAAATGCATTTTGCTAAAACTCTAGTGGTGAAGATAAGAGTGACAAGTTTGTTTAATTCTGATGTACTAAAACCAGTTGAACACAATCAAAGGTTGTTGAGGAAAATTGAGGATCAAATAACATCACAGGCTTGCAAGACAAAGTTCCTTATGGATGCTATGACAGCTACATGGAAGAGGGACTTTCCTTCTCTTGTGAGAAAGCTAGGAAACCAATGCAACTGGTGATAAATAATACTTAGCAATGCACAATATGATAAATAAAAGAGCATAATAAACATAAAATGTTCTGATGAAATTGCTGTTACAGTGACATTAATAATGCTGTCTACAGCGACTATCATTTTTTAAGATCTTCTCCTTCCACATTAAATCTTTTTAAAGTTATTTGGTTATCTCATTTGAGTAAATTTCCCTGTGGGAAAGTTAATGACAAAAAGTAGATGGTGTTGACTTTTGGTTCATATTGAGAAACATATTTTTCAACAAAATATCCTTGGGGGTGGTGGGTTTGGTTCAAATTCTTCTTTTCCTGACGTATTGAAGCATCATCATGTTCTGGTGCACTCATTGTGATTTCCTACGGCTGTGGGAGGCAAAGACCCCTATGGTATGGTATGCTGTTTCTGAGCCTAGGGTGAATTTTTTTTATCGGGTACCTTGTAGTTTTGAGTTTTGCTTTTTTTTTTATATACTGGAAAGACGTTAGTTATAAGTTTACTTCCTAATAAAAGAATTTTGCAGGTGATTTCATGGAGAAGGCATATCACTAAATGACCTTGAAATTTTTTGTGTTCTTTCTTTCTCTCACTTCTACTTTAGTTTACGTGATGCCTGGGTATCTTCTCTCTGAATAAAATTAAGTTGGAAGGCTCATTAATGAATGATTCTAATGTGATGATAATTATCTTTTCGTAGGTAAAATCAATTCTCATGCTTTTAAGTGTAGATTTGACTATGTTGAAGTTGAAACCAAGCCTCTCCTTCTCTAGTTTCATTGTAATAAGTTCTATATAAAATATTGTGTAAATATCAGCAACATCTTATGATTACAATCTCTGTGACCCATTTTCAGCAACAATTAACCTTACAAGGAAAAAGTAAATCTTTTTAGGCGATGAGACGAGAGCCTAATAAGAATTAGAGTGTTAATTGAGCGAAGGTCTGAAGGATGTCTTACCCTCCTGTCATTATATTGTTCTCTTCTTATCTTAATAAATCTTCTTTTATTTTATTTTTTAAAACGAGAGAAAGAGGGTTTCTTCTTCTTCAAGACTGTACCAATTTGGGAAATAGATCCTCAAAGGACTGCACTAGTCCCTAACATGCTGGGTAAGACAGGCAGGTCTTAGTTTGGCTTGTTTGTGAAGCAGGAATTATTTCAACTCCATATTCCGGAATATGGAGGGAGTTAACTTGGAATTCAGAATTTTCATTCGAAAAAAAAAAGTACAAAATCTCAAGTTTTTTGTGTTGATAATCTTGAACTTCTTGAATCTTTCCAGGAAAAAAAGGAGAAAAATCTTGAACTGCTTTAAGATTGGGAGAGTTTTGATTTCAGAATTTTTCCATCTCCTTAAGCTGCTTTCTGGAAGTTAAAGTAGTAACGCTTAGGTTACCAAACTCGCAAATGGAGCATCTTTTCTCCCTGGCCCCATTTTGACTTTATATGTTGTTGCTTGGACGGGAAGGCAGGGTTGGATTGGGGTTGTCTAGGGGAAAGTTTCGTCAGTTGTCAAAGGCAAGGTGATGATGGATTCACTAATCTAATTCCTTTATAAACTATGCATATGAATATCTCTGATTTCTGCTTGGGTACTGGTATATATCTCAATCTATAAACCATGAGCAATTTTTGGGCATTTCAAATATTGTGTGACATTACATTCTGTAATTAAATGCACTGCAATTCTTTTTGCAGTTTTGCATGTTACAATTGCAATTGCTTTTCCTTACCATTTAAGTTACCAATTTCCATACACCTGTTGCACTTGTCCTTTTCTTTCCTTTTGGCACTTCTCCAAAACCTCTTACTGATATATTTTGCATTATTGTTTCTGGCGAAATTAGAGATGCTTCACGAGCATTTGTTTCTGGCAACTTTACAGGTAAAAGATAATAAACCATTATCTTCTTCTTTACCCCTTGTTATGGTCCATCAGAACTTTAGTTTGGCATTTCATTTATGTGCCATCAAGTGAAGTTTCTCATGTGGATCAAAAGGATTTCTTTTTTTAGAGTAGAAGAAGTACATTAACGAGGCACCCTAGGGGCCTACCAATGTTCATCAAAAGAATAAAATAAAAGAATCAGAAGAGACTCTTTGAATTATTGACTGTATCATAAAAAATGAAAGATACCTCAGTCTTCCTGTAACCTGCATTTGTTCTCACTCTGTGAATTTCACCAATCCACTTTCCTCTTGCAGCATTTTTTTGACTTATTTTGTTCAAAACTATATTATTTCTGTAAGCCAAAAAACTCCATTCATTCCTCTTGGGAACTTGATGTGTAGTTGATCCAGATTGGATGATGACCCTTCCTCATATGACCTACATGACTTTTCATAATATGCCTGTGCATGCTTCTATATTGCTACCATCTTGAAACATTTTCTTATGGTAAAATAAGCAAGAAGAGTAAGATGCTACTGCATCTCTAGGAACTGCTAGAACTATCTTCATCTACTTCAGCTCTTCTTCTTCTTCGCCTACAAGTATTAGACTACTCATTGTTTAACAAATGAACGTACACGTCAAGTGCAGTGAACATTCTTCCTTTTTTTATACAGGAGATGGATTAACAGACTCTTTACATGGTTTATCAAGCATAGAGGTAAAATGCTGTTTGCCATTCTTGTTAAATGATGTATAACACATTCAAAACCTCCAACACTGAGTTGGTACAATTTGATTTTCCTAATATCAAAGGTTATTGAAACGAATTTATGCAAATTACAGAGTGATGTGAAACAAATATACTTAAGAAAAGTAAGTTTATACAATTATTGATATGGTTTTCATTCATCTTACACTGTGTTTGGTTAAATTCTCTTAATTCTTGGTCAATATTTAGTTCAACTTTCATGCTAGTCTTAATATAACACAGTGTGTTATATTTTACTTACCACCATCCCACCTTGAAGTTTCTAATGGTGAAAAATTCGACTCCAACACTGAACAGTATAATTGAACTTCCACCATCAAAAAATTAAAACTGCCCTAGTTGTTACTTAAACATAACAAATTATTATACATCTATGGTACTTTGGTAATTTGGACTAGCAATTTAATGAGAACTGAACTAAACGCAACCTTACATAAATATTATTATTACCATGAATAAAATGTTGAGAGAATCTTTACATTATGCTCAATTTCAAGCGTTACATGGTTCAAAGTAAATTCAAAAGCTGTCACATCTGCATTCGAAAATACAAGCTTTCTTGTTTATACTAGTAAGTTGTCTAATTTATCTTTCATGCCTGGTTGTCATGAAAATAAATTTATTATTAAATAGATTATGGATGCTGAAAGTTGTATTATAATTTCAACTATTCAATTTGATACTTCATGTCTCGGCATCTCAAGTTCTTTGAACATCTGCTGTTTGCAGGTGAAAAGTGTTGTTGATTGGCGGGACTTCTACTTGAGATCATATACGTGAGTTTGTACATTTTTACTTGTCATCTGTTGTGGTAATTTTCATTTTATCGCTATTTAAATCCTGCACTTAATTTTTAAATTAGTCCTAATACATAATAGGAACACAATTTCCATGCTTGAATCACCTCCACTCTCAATTTTTTATCCTTGGGATTGGAAAGAGCTCAAACATAAAAAGCATTTTGTAATTGCATGTACGAAGATTATAGAAATTAATAGGAATAAAATGATAATTGAATCAAACATGACTTTACTTCTGTATATACGAAATTGTAAAGAACCAGATATAGTTGTAATTTTTTATGAAGTTCTCGAGTTTGATGCTCTTTTTATTTCTTCTTTTTTCACCATAACTATACACATAAAATGGTATAAGCTTAAATTATCAGTATATAAGAGTTTTTGGGATTATTATTGATACCCACCTGTTAGCAGGTTTGTCGGTAAGCTCGTTGGATGTTACTATGATAGCCAAGGAAATGCCACAAAATATTTGAAAGGAGCTGAAGCCAAGGCTGCCCGAGGTTCGCAGCTTTTGGAGAAGCAGAAAATAGAAGAAGCCAAGCAACCAAATTGCAATTCAAGGTGGAGTCAGGATGATGGTGGAGAGGTACGTATTCATGCTTTTTAAAGAAGGTATTTTTCATGCTTTTCTAGCTGTCCTGCGCAATTAAATGGATGTCAATAACTTTATTTACATATACAAACACAGAAGTCTATCAGATTGGAGTCTTTGATTTCACCTTAGTCTTTTTGGTAAATGGACTTGGAAATTGATTCAACCCTGTCATTTAACATAGTATCATAATCAATTTATTGCTGTCTTATTTTTATGAAGCAATTTTAACACAAGGTATGGTCTATATGGACTAATGAGTCAGTGCTTGATTTATGAGTTTAGTCTAACCAGCTTGCACATGAGGGAGACAGTAACTCTGTAAATAGTATATGACACTCCTGTCTATCAACTTGATTTTTAGAAGAATAGTATAAAAGTTTTAATTAGTAAATTTCTTACTTATTACTGTTGGCAGGTATGGTGTGATGTTGGGTTGCCTAGACTAGTTCAAAGAACTCTAGAAATTGCTTTGACTGGGAAGATGAGTAAAAGATGCGCTTGTTTCACAGAGGACCAGCTGGATCAGCCTGGGTTAGAAGTATATGATGGATGCGATTACCTGTCCAAGACTTGCAAAGTTTGATCCGGACTCGGAGATCCTTTCTTGTATATTTTCTAAATCTCATGAACCTTTCATATCTTAACATAAAAATATTATTTTAAAAAAATAATAATTAGCCAAGCTGTTTTTATGGAAAATTTATTTGGGCAAGCTTGAATGTGCTTGTAAAAGTACCCTTTTGAATACCAAAAACATGCCTGAATTTATGCGTGAGCCAGAACAAAGGATTCTGGTGATTATATATATATATATCCTTGTACATTTTTTTTTTAAATTATAAAATGCCAACTAAAGTTAAGTATTATTATTATTATTATTATTATTTTTTGGGATTGTTGGTGTTTAGATTGTGTATTTTTGTATGTAATTGTTATAAAATTTGTATGTACTTTACTTAATTTTATTAAATATATTAATTTCTTCTGAAAATAAAATTGCCAACTAAAGAAACATGACTTGCTTTAGCTAAAAATGCACCATTAATTTTTTTCATGGAAAACTTTTGGACCCGTGAAACCTATAAGTTTATTTTCCTTAATTGATTAAATAATTCCCTATGAATTACTTACTTAAAATGCAGATAGTATTTATTTTATAAAATTAAAGAATAGTTTAATTTTGATAAGTAAAAGACAACCTCTGACAGTTTAAATTGTCACACTATCAATAATTTTTTCAATCCAGCTCTCCATTTGTGGATATGCCACTTACCACATGGGTTACTAACGAGTTTTCATATGCTGTTAAAATAGAGGATCAATTTAGACCAATTTTAAAATTTTATTTTATTTTTAAATTGAAAAAAAAATATATATATAGCTAAATTATTTCAATCCGTTAAAATTTGTTTTCCTTTTTAATTTACATTTCGCAATTGAAAAAATATTGGTTTAATATATATATATATATTTTTAATCTGCAATATGAATTTATTTCTTATTAAGATAACGGCTTTATGTTTTTAATACAAAAAGTCAACGTTTTCCTTTTCAGCTTGAATTGAAGTACCAATTGGACAATCAGTATTTTATATTATATTTAAAAAATTAATTTACGTCTAATTATTTTCTATCCATCAGGCATCCGCGGTCACGGACTATATAGTATTGGGCTATTTGCTGAAATAAGAAATGGGCCAAGGCCCAATAAGTTCTTCGTCTTGCTAATTTAACCGCGCCTCTCTCTAGAATTGGCGCCTTTTTCTGTACTCCGAAATTCCAAATTCCGGGCTCAGTTAGCAGCAACTAGCAAACATGTGCGCTCGCGGAGGGAAAAATCAGCTCTGATTAACGTCGTAGTATAGCGAATTGGAGCGAGGACGAGGTGAAAATGGAAAATGGCGTTCCTGCACCAGCAAATACCCTCCCGTTCCCGTAAACGACCCTCCTCCTCCGTCTCCGATTTATCCAAACCGCAAGACGAAGACGTGATGGACAAGATGGTGAAGATTCTGGCCGAGGCTGGCTGTACGCTGCTGAATCCGTCAGGATCGCCATCTCTCCCTTCCGATCTCCAAAAATTCCGCCGCCATCTTACGCATCTCTTTTCTCCTTGTTCCAGTAACAACGCCACAGCCCTCCGCTCCGATTTTGTTTCTGGCTTCGCTTCTTACATTGAAACTCCCGGCAATCTTCACAGGTTCACTCTCTATTTTTTCTCTGTTGATATTGTGATCTTGATAAATGATAATTAGGTTTTATGTTGTTTTTGAACTTCTCATCTCTCTCCTTTTGTTTTTTCCCTCAAATTTTCAGGGTTCTGACGCCTTGGACTGGCGACAGAAGCGAGAGTTTAGTTCGAAATCTCCTGCTAGTGGCGCCTATCCAGCTGGACCTCCAGAACATCCTTCTCGAAAAGCTTCCCGAGTTCTTCGACATTGTTCCAGAGACTTCACTTGAGGATGACGTCACTAGGCTCATTATCAACCATTTCCGGTGGCTTGATTTCGTGGTTGATCCCGTTGCCTTCAGTGAGAGACTAATGCAGGTCCTTTCCATTTGCCCTCTATACTTAAAGAAAGAGATCATTGGCTCGTTGCCGGAGATTATTGGAGATCATAATAACAAGTCCCTCATTGATTCTCTCGAGAGAATGCTTCAAGAGGATTCCGCCATCACTGTGCCTGTGCTTGACTCTTTATCTAGCATTAATTTGGACGCTCAATCGCAGGATCAGGTACATTTCTTTCTCCCGGTCTCTGTTCAGTTCCTTTCTTCATTTCTTTCTCGGCATCTAAAAACTGGCTAGGAGGGTATGCTTTACATGCTTACTAACTACAGCTGTCGTTTTTTATCTGGAAGGTAATCACTATTGCATTATCGTGCATTAGAACAATTGACGCTGAGCAGCTGCCATATCTACTTCGATTTTTGATGCTCTCGGCAACGCCTGCAAATGTTCCGAGAGTAATCTCGCAGATCCGTGAGCAGTTAAAATTTGTTGGAATATCATCTTCTCGTGCAACTCAGAGGAAACTCAAAGGAAAATCACCTATAAAAAATACGGAGGCTTCTGTCTTGGATGCTTTGGGATCAAGTCTTCGGTTTAAGAACGTAATTTTTTTCTCTGCCGCATGTTTAGGAATCTATATTTCTACCATTTAGTTTACGCAGCTGTATATCTCGTCCTGTAGTTACTCTGTCAAGAGATTCTGAAACAACTGAACAATCTCGATAAGCCTCGGGATCACAAGGTCATTGACATATGGCTGCTTATGCTCATGTACATGAAAGGGGAGCCCCTACGAAGAACCATTGAGAAGACATTCAAGAAGAAAATTGTGCAAGAATGTATTCAGGAAATCATGGTTGATCAGTGCATATGTGGGAACAAGGAACTTGTCCAGGTGCCTCTTACCGGGATTTGAGATGAATGTTTTACCCTGTTAAATTTGAATTAGCATGTTTTGAAATACATTATTTTAAGGAAAATATGAAGTAGGAAAACATATCAGACTGAATAAATGATGGTTGGAATTATATTAGTAATGAGATTGGTATAAATACCTGTTTGTAGCTGTAAAGAATACGTGAAATGATTGACACTCCCCTTTCACCCCCAATTCTTCTAATCCCAAACCCTAATTTTCCCTTCTGAATTCTTCACACATCATATATTTATGTCCAAGTGTTTTTTTTTTTTTAAATTTTGTTTAGGATTATTTTTCATCATTTCTTTCCTTGGCTGAGTTCTTGTTGGGATGCAAAGAGCAAAAGGCAAGGGCTTTTGGCAGTCACCTCTATACTTCCCTGTTTGAGGAGTTTGTTGGTACTTATTCAAGACAAGAAGTAAGCATCTGAATAGACGTTGCTCATCTCATGATCAGGAAATATAAACTCTAACAAACATTGATTTGTATATGGTGTACAGATACTTGGTTCATTAGTTACTCATGTAGGATCAGGTGTTAACTTTGAAGTGAGTTCTGCGTTGGAAACCATGACTCTGCTTTCTACCAAATATGCACAAGAATTGTTCCAATTTTCTTCTCATATATCTGGTATATTAACCACTTTCCGGTCTTATCCATTCACTTTGTAATTGATTGTTTATTTTCTTTGACACCTGTTATTCTTCTCAAATCAGGTATCTTGGACTACTTGGAGGGTTTTAGTGTTGAAAATCTGCATAAGGTGGCTTGCTAATCTTTATACTGTTTTATTATACTTACAGGTACTGTAAATTAGATGTTGTGAAGAATTCTCCCATAGTGCAGGTTTACGAAGTTTTCAGCCCCCTGACGCTGTCAGCTCAGACTAGTCCAGACTGTTTTCGGTCTTCTATTGCAAATGAACTTCTGATGATAGTGAGGAAGCAGGTACCTTGGAAAACTGAATGTATTTTCTGTCTAAGGCGCACTTTAACAAATTAATATTGATTTTGCCACAAAAATGATATAGCTGGTATTATAATTTTATGTTTTTATTGGCCTTGGAAGGATTTTTTATGGAAACCCAGTTTAACCCTTGGCATTATCACGATTGGACAGGTCAGCCATCCCGATTTGAAATACAAAAAGATGGGCTTAATTGGAACTATAAAGATAGTTTCATGTCTTGCAGATGCAAGCAATGTTACTCAGTCATCTCATTCTAAGGTAGCAAAGACTTGCACTGTTATGAATTTTCTTGAAGCTGGTTATGATCTTATTCATAATTACTAACTGCAAAGATGGTTTCTGACACTCGATAATAAACAAGATAAAGGTTGTTAGTTCTGTAGTATAATTCATTCAGTTGTCCCATATTAATTGTCAGTCCCGCGTTCATTCAATTGTCCCATACTGATGGAAGGTTTCAGAATGGTGTTAGGAAACAAATCTATTTTAGTCGTTTCATTGAACAAAGTCACAAATTAGCTTAAATTAGCCCAAATTGAAGTAGTTTAACCATAGCATATTTAATGTTCACTCCAGCAATAATTCTAAACTAGAAAAAATAATAATCGAAGAAGGAATTCACTCTATGAAATTATGTGGGCATTTGGGAGATAATTAGAGATGGCATTCACGAAACTCTTAAGAATTTCTTATGCAATAACATAAATGTGTAGTCAATTAGTCTGCAAATTCTTTAATGTTTCTGCTCCTGTTCCTTTCACTGCTAAGATTGTGGAAGATAGATCTCAGTTGAGAGAACAGTGGGTTTTGGTTTGGGGAAGAGAGGTTTCAGTATTATAAAGAGGGGCAAAGATGAGACAGATATTTATAGACATAAGAGAGATTCTGTTTTAATTTTATTATTTTGTTTAATCTTTGGTTTCATGTTCCATTCATTTAGTTATTTTTCTATAAATTTAGTAAATAAACAATGCAAAAATGGGAAATATAAATTTCTACTTTCTAACTGTCTTTTAAGTATGGCATGCTTTTGGAAAGGGTTTAATAGATTAAACAATATATTTAATGAAAGTATTACATTGATGTCAATTTTATAAATTAGGTATTTAGTTGCTCAAATTTAAAAGGATGAACCCTTAGTTGCATATTCGAGTAATTGTTAGGCCCATTTAAGTGCTCATAGGCCCATTTAAGTGCTCATAGGCCTTCCACATTTTGTTAAGTACAAAAAGAAATTTGAAAGCACATAATTATATGCTGGAATATACAATTGATATGACCAGAAATTTGAAATAAGTTAAATTTTTTTTTTTCTTTTTAAACAAAATATTAAAGGTTTTCTATGGCTTGAAGAGTTCAGCTTCCAGAGCTGGCAACTAGAGGCCACATAGAAACATTGGTAGATGAGCGATGAGTTCAAGGAGAAAAGAGTTACCACTAAACTAGTGTCACTTAAATGGGTTGTGGAGATATCAACTGTAATAACATGCTAAAACTAAAGGTAAATTAAAGAGGACTGATGAGCCTTGAACTTACATATTTTGACTTCTCATATCAATCATTTTCATGGACTTAGAAGAATCGCATCTCAAAAGTCAGTTGTTGAGGTGGGAGCATCCAAGTCATATAAACCCTTCAACAAAGCCATACACCTTAATATGAAGTTCAAGTTTCTTACCTTGCATTGAGTACCAGAATAATCCATCATGTTCCGCTGTCCTGGATTGGATTTGCACTAGTCCTTTTTTTTGTTAGTCCCAGATGAATACAACTGTTCTGGCATTAATGCACCCGTTGCATGGTTGCAACCTGAAGATATGGATGGTTTTGATACAATTTACAGGAGAATTAGAATCATACCTCAAAAAGGTTAGGTATCCAAAATCCATATAAACTCCTTGACAAAGTATAACATATTAATATGAGATTAGGTTTCGTAGCTTGCTGTTATCACATAACAATAAATATAGCCCTTGGAAAGGTGTATATATTCCACATCTGATGGAACACAACCTTTTCCTGCTCTTCTTATTCCTTAATATTGGTTGTTAGGAAAAACAGATTTGGTGACTGATGGACATTCCCTTTGTCCTGCTTTAAAGAGTAGCCTTCCCTGCAGACTTATATTTGAGGTTTTAAATGTTTTGAAGTTTGTCTTCAGATGCAAGAGAAAAAAATTATGCTGCAAAACTGTCAAGAAAAAATCTGCTGGTGTCAATTGTTATCAGTTATTCTCCATATTAAAGGAAAGTAAAAATAGAAGTTTGTAAACTGGCTGTTATCTTGCGTTTCAATTATTTTTCAATCTAATGCAGAGTAGTTGCAACTATAGTCTAACACTCTTCCAGATGTTGATCAGTGTTAGTAACATGGCATGTGTTTCACGTCTTGTTCAACAACAAGAGGAAGTAACTTTGTTGTGCATTATGCTTTTATGTGGTACAGGAAAAACTTTGACCTGCTCTTTTTTCTATTAAGCAGCCACTCATTTTCAATATGCAATTCTGCAGAAGGTTGTGCATTCACCATGCCTTCAATATTTTTCTTACCAGGAACTGAATTGTAAGGAGGCCTTGGAACTCTTGAAAACATCACTAGACTCATGTAGACAGCTGTGCTTACCATTAACCCTCTTCTATGACGAACTGACTGCACTTTTGGATCATAAAACACTTCAGCCAGAGATTACAGAATGGTGATTAAGTGTGAACAATCTACACTCAGATAACAAGTTCAAAATCCGGTCAGGAGAAAATCAATTTACTAAATCTTCGTAAGACACTTTTTCTGTATTTTGTAGGATTGCCAAGCATGCAGGAGAGTTTGAATCCATATTTCTATCTGATCTTGAAGGTGGGAAGCTGGGAAATGAGGGCTCATATTGTGGGTTAGATGGTGAGTTTAATGATGGATTTGTTATTTTATTTTCTGATTATATACTCTTCAAGTCTATGATCTTGGTGAGCCAGATTAGTTTCTGTTCTTCCTTCCCTGCAGGGGAACTGTGGATGAATTTGGATGGTGCTATCTCCCCTGTTTGTTTGAACATTCTGCCATTAGCTTGCACCTCCATGCAGTAATACTTATATACCGTTGCTCAAATTGAATTCTGTAGAAAGATTGTCTTAATATCGTAAATTTTGAAACTGAAATCTCCTACTCTGCAGATCCGCTTCTTCTTTGCAGATTCTGCCTTCTATTTTTCTTTTACTATCCACTGTAAGATCATCCTCCCTTTTTAGAACAGAATTCCTACAATACTGGAACTACATTCAAGAGATTCTGTTGACTTTCAGCTTGAAAAGTTCAGAAATCAGGGTTCCCTTGCAGGAATCGATGCCCTACTTGGCTGCCCTTTGCATCTTCCTTCCTCTAAGGTGAGACCAAGCCTTGTGTCAATGTAATTACTTCTTTGTTTGACCTTGGATTCAAAACTAAGTTTTAATCTAAATCATGTTTTCAGACTTCTAAATCTTAGCATGCAAACACTTGCAGTAAATGCAGTAAGTTTCCAAACGTCTAAAATTGATAAGTATATACATAAACCAATAATGGAACAAGCTGTTTTGTTGTTTTTCTGGGAGAATATCTTATCCTCCCACTTTGTATCTTCTTCTACCAGCAAAATATCATAAGAAAAAATTATCTGTTCTTTACTTTCTAATTTAAGTATATAAATTTACTTCAATTAAATATGTTGAGGAGTGATTCTATGAACACAAAACTTTGTTCAAAATTGGCCTGGTTGCGATGGATTGGGGATATGTTTTATTTAGGAGAGGACAAGACCAGTTTGCTGACATCTATTGGCTTGTGGGATGTGAAGTACTTCTCTGTAGCTGGTTGGCAATCTCTGACAGGCAAACAGAAGCAGATCGTGTGCATCTCTCTATTTTATGCGGCAAACTGGATGCGGGAACTTGTAAGTTGCAAGTAATATAATCAAATTTCGAGTTTCATCATCAGAAGTAATTGTTTGAATGGTATTCATGTCATGCAGCTCAATGCCTTCAGCTCCCAAGTTTCTGGAAGGTTTTTATGTGTTACTCAGACTACGAAGGAAGACATAATTACAAAGCTACTAAAGCGACTGGGGAACCTAGTGTATGTTCACATGCTTTTGGTTGTATTATAATTTTTTTTTATCCTTTTAGGTCAGATATTTTTTCTTAATGTTAATATCCTACTGTGTACTGTATACTTCCATGAGAGGAAAACAAGAGAAGTAGAACATCTTCTTCGTTCATTTGGTCTCTTTTGTCACTTAAAGTATAATATCCTTCTCTTATCTTATATATATTACCTCCTTAAAGGCAGCCATGGAATTTTGGATCTTAATGACGAAATTGCATTTAAAAAGCACAAGGTGGAGAATACTAAATTACCAAGCTGCTCAAATTTTAGTGCGGCTAGTGATAGCATAGCAAGAAGTTATTGCATTTTTTATCTTTTGGATCTTAACAGCAGGTTTTTACTTTCCAAGTATTTTTAGATCATTTTTTGTCTGTCTTGCTTGATTATTTTCACTCTTCAACATCATAACGGAATCTGCAAGAACACACTGATGCAGATTTCTCGAAAGCTTGTTAAACAGTTTGATCAAAGATTGCCCACTATCTCTACCTGAGCTACATCTTTGCGTTGAACATTCTGGATCCACTATCTTAAGCCAGAATAATTATATGGGGCATTTGGAGAAGAAGAATTTGAAAAGTAAAGCATGTGATGGTAGCACCCCAAGCATGAGGAAATGTAAGATCCCGAAAGCATCAAAGAGTGCGGATGCAAGTGGAAAACTCAAGCAGCCAACAATATTGGATATGTTGGGGAAAGCAGGAGCAACCAGCCAAAAGGACCAAAATGTGGACTCTTCTATCTTACCTTCTAAGTACAGGACAATAGAGTTAGAAGAACAAAGTTCTTGTGACTCTAATGAGCCAATACTTGTAGAAGTTCTAATGGTTACCCAGGCTCTGGAAGCCCAAAGATATAAATTCAGGCCTCTTCTGGCTGAATGCTTTTCCATTTTGACACTTTCAAAGGTTGGCACACTTATGCTTGTAAATCTAAAACAATTTGTTTGAATTCTTTCCATCATATTACCAGCATTTCAATAATTTCAGTGCTTTAGCAAGTATAGGAATTGCTTGATCTCATGAAATTAATGCAGTTCAATTTTTTCACAAGTAAAGTTTTCCTTGTTCAGCTTCCATCATGGGGGTTACATTTCATTCTTCAAGTATTTTTAAAAATCATTTTCTTATTTATATGTTTTTTAATCTAGAAAAGTTTCATGGACATTTACTTTGATGCAGAAAGAAACTTATCTAGTTCCTTGAAATTAATATATATGGTATTTAAGGCATTGTCAGTAACATGATTTGCAATATACTATGTAATTAAATAGTAATATAAGTTACTTTTTGTATTTTTCAAATGCAGGATCAAGACTTTCATTGCTCTGATCTCACTGCTATGGTACAATGTTAAATGCAGAAAATGGTTTTAGTTTTTATAAGGAACAAGTTAACATGTTTACTACTTCTGTGCTAGTTACCCCTACAACTGTACCTTCTGCGTGATCTACACTACAAGCTGGATAGTTTTGCATCCACACGGGAACAATGCACTGCCAGAGACTTGACTGCTCCTGCTAGTTTCAGCAGGATGACAGTAGATGATTTTCTCTGTGAAATTAAACCACTTTTTCCGAATCTTAAACATCTTTTGAGCAGTGCGATTCACACTCTTAAAGAAGGTGAGATTATTGCATCTAATGTAGTTGGAAAGGCACTAATGACTTTCTTGTCTGTTCTGCCGATCTCACAACTAATACATATAGGTGATGGAACTTGTCAAGAAAATTGGAAACTTCAGTCTGTTGGTGCTAGTAACCCAAGCATGCCTAGCATGGTGATTTCAGAATCTTCAGTTTCTGCCATGGTTTTTAAAGAAGTACTTAACTGTTTCAGTAAGGTGACTATCCTTTCCTCTTTCATGTGCAGACTATCATCATCATCATTATGTGTGTGAGCTTTTTATTCTATTCCTTGAGTAACTATTTTGATTTCTTTTTGGGTGCATAGATGCTAAACCTTCGTGAAATTCAAATGGACGAATCAGTTCTTTCAAATCTCCTTGAAGCTTTCCAACCCCTTAACTTGTCAGATGCCCGCTTTTCAGGCATACAAGTAATCCCTTCACCTGGGACAACAGAATATCTGTATCTTGGTGCCTGTTCTTTCTTAGAAGATGTCTTAAACATTGGTATACAGTTCTCTTGTTTCATAGTGGTACACATATAGTGTTCTTGTCATTTATTTGTAACCATAGCTACTCCCTGCAGCATGTTCTTTGTCCTTCATGTTGGCCTCAGAATGTCTGGTTGCTCTAGAGTCAGTGGCAACTACAGCTAATAAGTTCCTTGCTAAGGAGGAAAATGGTAAAAAAACATGTTCTAAGTCACTGGAGGGTCTCCTTCCTATCTTTCGTCGGAAGCTCAGGACTTCTGCCCAGAGGCTCTTGGAGCAAAATTGGAGTGATGAAAGTCTTGAGAATGGCTGGAAGAACAAGGTGTTGATATTAGTTGCCATGTCTCATGCAATGTGCTATCAACTGTCCTTTGATTAGTATATGCATATGTATTATATATACATTAAGTTTTTGCAGGGAGAACTTGTACAGAAGACATTGCAAATTTACTTGCAAACTGCTGAATCCACTTCAGACGTACTAGATGAGCTCACCTGCTCCATTTTACCTCAGGTACATGAACTTATTCACAGGTGATTTCTTTGTTTTGGTATCAATTGATGGTGTATCAGTGAGACAATTGTGACTTTCTTTTGGTTGTTATCTTGCATCTTGCAGGAAAACCGAAAAACAGTCTAATATTCTCCAGATAATTAAAATTGTTTACTTCTGAAATTGGAAATTCGCAATGTGGATATAAGAGATCCATTAAAAATGTGGTTGAAATGGCCAGTTAATCCTGCCAACTTGACATTTATTTTGCAAACCAGCTTAGTGTTCTTTTTGTGTTCAGATGTCTGCATCTACTTCCATTGTAGAAGATGATCATCATAGCTTCCCAGCTCTCTGTCCTGCAACATTTGTTGTCTGGTACCGGGTATTGGTAAGACATCTTTGTCTTTAGTTTATTTCTTTGTCCAGGTGCAATTTTTTTTCTCTCTCTACTACACATTAAGCTTGATGATGATGTCCCTAGGCGGAGAGCCTAATGAAATTTTGGTTTTCTGTGCAGCATGAAGTGAACCTTACAATTCTCAACAAACAGGTGGGCTTAAATTCTGCCATTACATATTCCAAAAGTTATTGATGAGTGCTCATGGCCAAATAATATATTTCTTATACCCTGTTCTTATGATTAGGTAAAGGAACTCTGCTTAGAGAAACGGCAAGCTGGTGGTCAATCCAGCACCGTAGAAACACATCTGATCAACATACATAAAACTGTTAACGTCGTGGTATCATTAGTTAATATGTGCAGGACTCATGACAAGGCAAGCAAAGTTCTCCTTTTGACAAATAATTCGTATTACATCATGTCGCACATGCATGGCACATATGTAGGTGCTCATTCACAGTTCTCAGTTCTTCAATATTATATAATAATGGTAGAATAATCCTACAGGTCACTGTTCATGCCATGGCTGTCAAGTATGGAGGGAAATTTGTTGATTCCTTCCTGAAAGGTGAATGCATCACATTTTCCTTATTAACCTCATTGTATTAATTTGTAGTTGATGAGGTCCCAAGACTTGATATGCTCTGCAGTTTTTTATTTCTTCCAGGCCCACTTCCAAAGTCACAATGAAGTTGCAATTCAGCTGGTAAGATGCACATGGACTGAATTTCTTTACCATGTTTGTTATTAGGTAAACATCTTGAAAGACCTAATGTTCTTATAATGAATTAGGTCAAAGAGCTTCAAAAAGCAACAAGGACAATGCAGACCCTATGTTCTGAAGCAAAGGTAACCTTGAATATTCAACTGGATGTACTTCTTTATCTCATTGTGCTGTTATTTTTACTTATTTCTCTTTGTTCCTGCAGGGCTCGAAACAAACTGTTATTACTAGCAAAGTTCCTGCTACTAAGAGATCTTTGGAACGTTTTCTGTTCCGTGTCAAGGCTCTTCTCCATACAACATCAAGTGGTTGCAGTTTTTGGATGGGTATGAAATACACTACTGGTTCTTTTAAAGACTTACTGCTTCTTGCTTTCCCATAATTATTTTTAGGAATAAGATTTAAGTTTGGTTCAAAGGTGTTAATTACATGGAATCTTAATAAGACTACAGACCCTAGTAAATAGGGATAATGTTGGAGAGATGATAAGGGTGTAAGTTTGTTTTCAGTTTAAAATCATGGTTCAGTAACTAGTTTTGTGAAATTCATTCGGAAATTCATACTTCTTGGGGGAAGTTGAAATATGTTTTATCAGTTTCTCTTACAATTTCACAGAACGTCATTTTTCATTATCTTGTATGAAGTTTTTATTCTTTCACTAATTGAACTACAGTATATATTTCCAAATAAATTTCACATATAGTCTGTTTCTTCTGAATAATCTAAATGGATTTCTGATTCCAGCTCTAGAAATTTAACATATAAATTTGATTGTGAATCAGATATAAATTATAATTCATTCATAGATGTTAAGGATATCTTTTATTAATTATGATAAAAGAAATGAAATGAAATTAAAGCAAAAATTGCCAAATGGCATTCATTTCCTAAACATTTTGTGAAAGAATTTACTAGTGAAAATTTGTTGAATGTTTAATTCTTCAATTAGTAAGAATCTGGGTCAGTTAGATTTCACCTAAATAAGGGCTTAAGATATATATCCTGGTTCCGAACATTTAGTGAAATTCTAAAGCGTTCTCTTGCTTTAATTTCCAAGAAAATAAGGGGAAAAGGGCTACCAAAATGTTTCCAACAATTTGATGAAAAATTGGCTTAAGATTAAAATATCATTTTCAATGGACAGTATTCTAAACTGAATTACTGTTATTTGCTGGTGCATCTTTTTGTCTCTTATCTCAAGTCGATAATGGTGTCAAGGCAGTTAGAGAATCAAGTTATCAGACAATTATACACATGAATGATTGATAATTCTGGCAATCTCCACTGACAATTGAAAGTGGCAAACCTGGATTTCTTTCTCTTCTTGACCATTTATCTCCTTTACACAGGTAATCTAAAACATAAGGATCTAACCGGTCAAGTAGTAAGCTCTCAGGCATATGTAGATAACCAAAATGATGACGTCAATGACGATCCAGCAGGAGCTATTGATGAGAATGAATCTGCTAGTGTAGCTAGTGAGGACAGATAACAGGGCATTGAGTTTTTGTATTTATCAAAAGGTACTGAGAACTGAAATGATCACTTCATCAGTCTGGACATCAAGGAGTTTGTAATGCCTTTTTTTTTTCTAACGATGACTGTTATCTTCAAGCTTGAAATTGTTCTATTTTATCTTTCTGGTATTTAACAAAATTTTCACAAACAGCTAAGCACGAAGAAACTTCTGCAGGTGATCTTTTTAATTAGCTGCATGCGATCTTAGTGAGACCCTCCTATAGATAGCTACCTCATACTACAGTTTACATGGAGCAACAAGATATAGCATTGGATACTAAGGTGGCTCGCATATCTTATTAATGGGTAGCCGCTGACATGCGTCCGTGCATTATTTCATAAAGCTTGCTTTACTTTGTTTTTAAAATTTTTGATAAAATGGTTTTTGTGAAATTTTAATTTGGATAGATTAATCTAATGATTGAAAAAACCAAGTAAGGATCATGAGGGCAGAAGCTGTGATCCGACATATGTCATTTGGAATCTTTCAAATCGTACGGAGGGCAGGTTTATGCGATTGGTGTTAAGTCTGAGTTTTTAACCCTTTCCTATGTGACGGTTCCTCCAAGTGCAGAGTGGTTCCCTGTGAAGGCCCGCTTATTTTTCTCTTTGTAGATTTGAAAACTTTAGAAGCTTGGTGTGCGGAGAATTCCTGCCGTAACCATCTATTGTTTTAAGGTTTACAACAGGCGTAATGAATTTAGCAAGGGTCTTTTCCTTTCTAGTTTTATGGTTTTTTCTCTTTTGAAG